TCCCTTTCTCTTTCTCCTTCCCCTTTCTCTTCTCTTTCCCCTCAGAACCCAGCAGGCCTGGGTTCCTTCGAACCCACCCAAGCGCTAGGTTCCTTGCGAACCCAGGCGCTGGGTTTGCAAGGAACCGAACCCAGCACGCTTGCCTGGGTTCAATGGAACCCAGCACGCTTGGGTTCTGTTGTCTGGGTTCGCAAGGAACTCAAGCATGCTAGGTTCGCCTGGGTTCGCACCGAACCAAGCATGCCTGGGTTTGGTGGAACCCAGCATGCCTGGGTTTGGTGGAACCCAGCACGCTTGGGTTCGCAAGGAACCCAAGCGTGCTGGGTTCGCGTCTGGGTTCACACCGAACGCAACACGCTTGGGTTCGGTTCCTTGCGAACCCAGGCCAAGCGTGCTAGGTTCGCAAGGAACCCAAGCATGCTGGGTTCGCGTTTGGGTTCCTACAAACCCAGTACGCTGGGAACCCAGGTGTAAAAAATTTTTTTAAAAAAATAATTTTTTAATATTATAAATAACATAATATATATCGTATCATTAATCTCAAACTTTAATCACATTTATCATTATTCTAACTAAATACAAAGTAAAAAAATTTTGTAATCTTTAACTAAAAATACAAACTAACTTCGAGTCAATTCAAATTTGAATACAAAACCAATTATTATAAGTAATCAACAATGATCAGATCAAAATTTTCAACACCAAACAAAATTTCCAATTGCTCGCTTTAAAACCCTGAAGTGTTCTTAAGTTAGCCTTGTAAAATTTTCTTCTGCCATTTCCGCCTGGCTTCCTAATCTAGCCGATCTGCGATACTTTCTCTCTTCTCCCTCAACCACCACTGGAGATCGGATTTTCCCGAGCTTCAACATCAATTCCTCCCAATTTAATTCTTTACAGTCTGATCCCAGATCCTGAATCATGAAAACTGACCCAAAAGAACAAGAAAACAGCTGGATATGGCATCAGGGCATGAAGAATCCATCAATTTTTCCTTGGAATTTTTACAGGGTAATTGCCTGCTCCATTGCCCTGTTTTCTACTCTGTATTTTGTCTACTGTGTCAGCTTCTTAAATTCATCAAACCGGAACGCCGCCATCAACATCACCCGCAGCTCCGTCAAGCTGGACTACATTTCCCCCCAGGTTAACGACCCTGCTCTTTCTCAGAGCCTCCAAAAAGCTCCAGAAAAAACCTCCCTACGCCACATAGTGTTTGGCATTGCAGCCTCGTCCAGGTTCTGGAACCGCAGGAAAGAGTATATCAAGCTCTGGTGGCGGCCTAAACAGATGCGCGGCGCCGTTTGGCTAGACAAACCTGTTGCCAACGGCACCGACGACCATCTTTTACCTCCAACAAAAATCTCAGGCGACATCTCCAGGTTCAAATACGAGAACCGTCGTGGCCACCGCTCTGCTATCCGCATATCGCGGATTGTGTCGGAGACTTCACGGCTGGGATTGGAAGCCGTGCGGTGGTTCGTGATGGGCGACGACGATACATACTTCGTACCGGAGAATATAGTGAGTGTCTTGTCGAAGTATGATCATACTCAATTCTATTACATCGGAAGTTCGTCAGAGACTCACGCTCAGAACATTAATTTCTCCTATGGCATGGCGTTCGGCGGCGGTGGGTTTGCCATAAGTTACCCGTTAGCAAAAGCTCTGGAGAAGATGCAAGACAGGTGCATAGAGAGATACCCGGCGCTATACGGGTCCGACGATCGGATTCAGGCCTGCATGTCGGAGCTCGGCGTTCCCCTCACCAAGGAACCTGGATTTCACCAGGTTAGTTTATAAAGTTAATCTTTACTTAATTACTTTACCCGATTAAAATGATCTAATGAAATTAATGGTAAAATTAATATTAATTTTTTATATTTTCAGTATTAATTAATGATAAAAATGTAATAATTATATTAGGTATAAGTTAAAAATTTTGAAAATTATTTTTGCAAAATTAGTTATAAATTTTTTTTAAAATTATTTTCAAGTAATGATATATATACAACTTAGTATATTTAAAAGAGTTAGTAATAATTAAATATCATATAAGAGGTAATCATAAATAAATTGTCTCTCAATTATTTTTCAATTATTTTTTGTCTTTGCATTGGAATATGTTAATTAACTTTAAGTAACTCTTTAGAAAAAAAAAAAAAGAAA